TTGCCTATTCATATCACAATTCCAAATTTATGAAAATATATAAATAAAAATTAAATAGTAATTTGTTAGTCCTATTACACATACAACTCCAAATCAAATAAAAAGATAATTTCCTAATCCTATTCCGTCCAAACACCTAGCTCCGCCTCGCTTCCTCCGTCATGATGTCCACCGTGATATGATACATGCGGTTGCTCCCCCACGAATTCGATCTTGTACAAGTGAAGGAAGTCATTCTTGCAAAATCTCTTCGACGGGGTGACTCCGGTGGAACTTAGGGTTTTTGTTTGGTTAAATTTGTGGAGGTGGAATCGAGATAGTACGAATTGGAGAAGCATATTTAAGGAAAATATATTTTCGAGGTTTAGTGGTGGCGGAGGATGTAGAGAGGGAAGCGGCAGTGGCGGTTGAATCGACAAAGGGGGACCTGAATGAGTAGGCGGAGCACAGCCTTATGGAGGTTATTAGTGGGAAAAAAATTAGGAACAATGACGGGGGTTGTTTTGGGATTTAAACGGTATGAGTTATTTTTTATTTTTATTTTTTTTTCTAGAGAAACCCACAAAACGAAGTCGTTTTGTTGCTGTTTCTTAACAAAAAACTTTCAGGTTTTGTAAATATATTGTTTTCAGGAGTGGGGATTCCAAAGTTAAATCCTGAAACGGCATCCTTTTATAGGTTAGGGGTTTGTTTTTTTCAAAAGGTTACGGGTTTTTTTAATTGGAATAAACTGAAGTTTTGAATTCTCGTTTTTGCCCTTTATAAGTCTCTGACATCACATCAACCTTATCCGACGGACAAGATCGATTTGACGGTAGTTCTTGAATATTTCTTGGGCATTATTTCTTGCCTACTGTGCCTTTATTTAAGTATAAGGATAATGTTAAAAGCAAAAAAAAATATTATAGGGGTTTATTATTTAGCTTCCCTAGCTACTATTGGCCCGATCGGACTACAGAGATTTAAAGCTCCACCGTCAGGTGTTAAACCTTAGTTACAACATGATATCATAGGGATTGCATATTCCCGAAATGTAAGAATTTAGGCGTTCAGCCTCCTTTATTGTAACAAAAAAAGCAAAAAAATAAATAAATATATATATCTATATATAAATCATTTACACGTTTTAAAATTTACAACGACATGTATACACCTCAACGATTCTTATTCTTCTTCTTCTTAAACGTAGATATAATATAGAATAACTACTCTGAATGCAATTATGCAAACATGTATACAAAGAATAATCAATCCAATTCAAAGATTGACCACGTATCTTTGTTATTATGATCTGATTTTTCAACACGTTTGAGATTTCTAAATTCAATTTCAACATGTGTATGGATTTGAATACCATGCAAAAGATTCTGTGTATAGAATATGTTTATCTTTTCTTCTTTTCTTTTTTTTTTCTTTATGCGAAAGTTCATCGTTTTGTAGCCAACCATAGGCTCCTTCTTTATAACTGATCTATATTTCCGGCAAGATTTTATCCGACCGAATATATGGTGTTTAATCTAAGTTTAGTATGTACCGAATTAATTAAGATCACCTTATATCTAATGTATCGATTTTTTTTTGGTAAAAAAAAAGAAAGAAAAAGCGTCATTTGTAGGCACCATTTCAACTGGCATGCAAATGACGCTTCTAATATGTTATCAATTAGTAACTTCCCTGTCGTTACCCGACCCATTTACAATAATATATTTTAAAATTAAATATACAAATGGTAAAAGTGTTTTTTAATTTTAACTCAACTTGTATGTTTAAATTTTGAGAATAATAAAAGAATCATTTATTTATATTATTAAAATCTTATTCTATTAATATTAATTGATTGATTATAATTAAAGACAAGGAAAGTTAACACAATTAAAGATAGTAGGAATCAACTTTTTTTTCACAAAATTACGTAATTTTTGTTGGGCGGGAAACGGATACATGAGAACGCGTTACATCAGCCTTTTTTTTTCTCTTTGACTATTGTTTTAATAGGATATATATATATATATATATATATATAGATAACCTCTTAGATATACATTCCACAGTATTACATAGTGAAAGAGTAAAAAAATCCATATAGGAGGTGCAAAATTTAGAAACCAACTACTTATGAACTAGGAAATTAATGTAGGAGCGCGAAAAATTATAAATACCTAGTTTTCTATTAAAAAATTTTGATATCTCTACTGATTAGAAAATATTGAGCTCCGTCCCCCTAACTCCACCACTAATTACATTTACGTAAGCAAAAATGTAGTTAAATTATTTCACAGCCTTACATTGTACAAACCCTAATATGATCGTATGCAAGTTTTGTGTCTAAATTATTTCACAAACAAAGTTTTCGTGATTGACTGATGTCGGTGGCCTCCATTTGTGGTCTATTAACATATAAACAAAGCAAAAGTGAATCCAAAAGGGAATCTACACTACAGAAATTAATGGCAAATAATTTCAATAAACATGTTTTATAACGGGCAATGCCAACTAGCCAGCACTTGATGCTCTTTAATTAATTAAAATATATCAAGTAAAGCTTTCAGCGTTAACAAAAGTGTTCGGCCAATTGATTCAGAGACCAAGAGAGAAGTGCTGAAATCATACCATAATTCATTGTTGAAAAATGAAAACATTAACTTTTCTTGTCCTTAAGTAATTGTTCTATTTGTTATCTGAAAAAATTTTGACAACAATCTTTTCAGGACCCTTGGAGAAAAAGATATTCGCCTTCTAGCAAACCTGAGCGATTCAAGTCAAAAGTTCCATCCTATTTTATTACATAAAGAAAGCACTTAGCACTTAAAAAAATAATTAATCAAAGCATTCAAATCTCTAAATATCTTCTCTTTTTTTTTATCTTCTTTTTTCTTATCTTTTTTCCCCCTACGTCGAACACACATTTTTGTAGTAATATTCGGTGTTTGTTCTTCGCCTTCTTATTTTTGAAACAAACAAAAAGATAAATAAAATAAAGCACAGTCATATTAAAAATCCTAGACTTTTAGACGGTTCTTTAGAGATGTCAATATACTCTCTATTAATTTATCAACTATGATTCCTTTATTTATTTTTTATTCTTTTGAGATTACTTCGCTGTGATATCTATAGTACTTAATTAAAGCAGCAAACAAAAAGGACATGTGTCAGCACTACAATGAAAATTTTCCTGCCAAAAGCCATTTTCAGTACAAAATTATTTTTGACAAGTGGCACTCTAACTAATCAGAAAAAAAAGATGGAATAGATAAATACATAAATCCCTTAATTATAGCTACATAAAAATCTCTTAATTATAGGTATATACTAATATTTTAAAACAACAATATTTAATTAATAAAATCAAATGTAAGGAAATCCCCTTAAATCAAGTGAAACACAATAATGTCTTCTCAATCCCCAATTTCAAAGAATCTCTTCCATTCTGCTCCTCTCTCACACCTTGGCCTTTAAATCAATTACTTGAAATCTGACATCAATTATCAATCCATCTCTTTCTACAACAGAGAAAAAATAAGCTGGCATGAAAGAAATTTGATTTTTTAAGGATGATTTTTTTTATTCTTCTGTTGTAGATATTGGTTTATGATTTATGTAAACCCGAGCATAAGTTAACTGTTGTAAATTAAATGTTATAAATCTGGCATAGATTTATGTATAATAACTCACTTTCTGTCCTTGCAATCGATTTTTTATTCTTCTATTTTTTTTATTCTTTTAAGAATGATTCGTATTTTTTATTTAATCGATTTAAAAATACAGGCGGCACCCGGGCATTCGCCCGGGACAAGCATCCAGTCTTCATTAAGGTCACACATTTATCTTTTACTGAAGCTATTTTTTCCTCAGAATCATCTACATTAGAACGTCACTAAATTAATAATCTATAAATAATAACTTTTGGCAATTAATAATTTTTTCCGGTTTTAACTTGGGACTAGTACAAAAAGTGAAGAAAATCGATAAATTGATAAAATAATAATATTTCAGAAAATCTCCTATATATCTATGTGTCCTAACAATACGATAAATTAATAAATACCCTAAAAGAAAAAAAAATAATGATAACTATAAATATTTAGTACAATATGCACTATTGATACTTGTTTTTTAGTCACTACATAAGATAGGAACAATGTATGGATATTTAGTATTTAGAAGAGTTTTAATACTTGCTTAATTCAGATGTAAAGACAACTACAAATTATATATGTAATCTAGTGACGGTTCTTCTTTTTTTTCATATAAATTCTTTAAGTCAATAATTTATTAATTTGTCAATTATTTAATAATTCGCAAATAATAAATTTTAGTAGTTCCAACTCTATTAATTTATAGAAATTCTACTATAGGTCACTTTTGTGTTATACTTAACGTGACACTATTTGAATTATTAATCTACAAAAATATCATTATTATTAATTCTTCAATTAAGCAACGAGTAAATCTAGTAGTAAATGATTAAGCACTATTCCTTCTCTTCTGAAAAGATAATCCGCTTCGAATTTTTAATTTTTATAGAAAACAATAAAAATTTAAGAACTGAATGTGAACTATATTTGTAAGAGAACAAAAATAATCACTCATCATACAGGTTGAGTCGTTCTATTAATTAATTCATACGATGGTTATGCATTACTTTAGAAAAAAAAATCATGATAGTGAAACAGTCTCTCATTGGCATTTTTCCCTAACACATGATTTTTTTACGAAATTCATTATCCATTGTCCCAATAATTTTCTTCCATTTCTTAGCGCTCTCACCACATTAATTAACAAAAACCTCTTTTATTTTTGTAATTGCAGGGTGTATATTGGACTTCACTAACTTATTGGGCTATCAAATAAACTCTTTGAGCCAAGAAAGAAACATTAGGCCCACAATCTATTCTATTGAACTACAATTCTATCTTCTTCAGTTCTTCTTCTTTCCACTGAATTTGTAGATAGCACATAAAACATCCACTGTAATTCTTGAGCTTTTAAGCAGAGCGTTCATGGAGATTCTGTTGTTTGGAAACGGGTTCAATTCTATCTCCACGAACCCAACAACGTTGGCATGTCCTTTGTTTCCATTCCCATCGGCAGCTTCATTTTCAACCGAATTTAAACCAATCAAGAGCTCGGAATTTACCACCAGTGCCGCTGCAACAACGGCTGCTGCTGCTGCTGAACTGGATGAAGCTCGAATTGGGGTTAGAAATGATCGTAATAAATCAGCAAGAATTTTCCCAGCTTCCCATAAGGCAAAGCAATCTGCAATTCTGGATATTCAAGAATCCTCTGACCTGGGTTCTGCTCTTTCAAGGTGCCCTTTTCGTTCATCTTTATTAGCTCCACAAATTTCTAATCAAGCATTTTCGTTGTAATATAATTATTCTGGCTTCTATGGTTGATTTAATTGGTAATAATTGCGCTTAAGTATTATCCCAGTTTAGTGGCATTGTAGTTTTTCTGTACCGTTAGGCAGCAAAGACTCCCTAGCTTGGAGTTTGTTTTGCGATTAGTACATCTTGGCTTTTGCTGGTGCAGTCTTAAATTTTTAGCCTTCGGAGGAAAACAAATTGGTGGACAGCTAGCTATCATGCTTGTTGAAATGATGGTTATCCCTTCAGTTTTCTGTTAATATTGTAAAATTGATGACATTTGCTACCATTGACAAAAATGATTATAGATTATCACTGGATTTCTGGTTAACTTTTCTTTCTTTCTGTAATGTATGGGGCTAAATATGCTGCACTTAAAGTTTAAGCAGTTTGATATCTGCTGTTGTACAGGTCCGGAGAACAGTTGAAAACTCAAGATTTGAATTTTATTTTGCGCCATTTCGGAAATCTAAGCAGATGGAGGGAGCTTTCCGAGGTTTGATTACTTCTGAACGTTATCAATTGCAGTTTGACACTTCTGAATTCAGTCGTATGCAAATGTTTTCCCAGTGATGTTTCTCACGTGGTTGTGCAACCCATGCTTATATGTTTCTGTGACTAAAATGAATTATGTGGTCTGTAAACATCTGTTACCTTTACATATTATGATGTAAGTTACACTAAATATCATGAAGTATCTGAAATAGGCATGCAACTCAGTGCGAGGAGGAAGTTACATTTCTTATTAGAAGCATTTAACTACTGTACCTGCAACCTTAGCAAATGTCTTTAGCCGGGAAAAATTCTAGCTATTTTGACAACATAAAAAAGTAGATGCACGTAAAATGGAACTGGCATTTACATAAGCATTTCTTTTGCTATACAAAAGTTCGGCTCTTATAATTTTTTTTTGTCACTGATATGCTGAATATATGTGTGCGCGTTTCACATTTTGTCTAGTTTTATGCAAATTAATATCTCAAAAAACTTCAACTTTGTGTTCAGTGTATAATATTGTGATGTGAGATTTCATCTCTTAATCATAGTCCTGGCATGCCTGGTCTTAGCATCATCAATTCCTGTGGAAATGATGTAATCTCTAGTTTTGTGCTTGGAAGTTGGCACAATACTTAATGTTTATTTCTTGCAGCTCTTTGACTGGATGCAGAAACATGAGAAGACCAACTTTGCTTCTTACAGCAGTTACATAAAGTTCATGGGGAAGAGTCTTAATCCGACTAAAGCACTGGAAATCTACAACAACATTAAAGATGATTGTACAAAGAATAATGTTTCTGTCTGTAACTCTGTCCTTAGCTGTCTGGTGAAAAATAAGAAGTTTGAGACCAGCCTCAAAATGTTTACTCAAATGAAGAGAGAGGGACTGAAACCAGACATTGTTACTTATTCTACGGTAGGCCACCTTTCTGTCTAATGTTCTATTATGTGCTACTGGAGTATTTGTAACTAAATAAAGTTTGAAATGATGTAAATAATAAAGCTGTACGATATCAGAAATAAAGATTGATTGCAGTTTTAGTGGTGTAAACCTCGATGCAAACTTTTCTTGACACTTGCTTTTCAATGCACTTTGACCATTCTGCAAATTCATGAATATTTCTTCCTTTCATCTTTAGCTGCTTATAGGTTGTGCAAAAGTCAAAGGTGGCTATTCTAGGGCTTTGGAACTGGTTCAGGAGCTGAAATTTCATGGTCTACGCATGGACAGTGTAACTTATGGCACAATTTTGTCTGTTTGTGCTTCTAATAATCAGTGCAAAGAAGCAGAGCAGTATTTCGATGAAATGAAGAGTGAAGGTCATTCTCCTAATGTCTTCCATTACAGCTCGTTGCTGAATGCCTATTCTGTTAATGGTAACTATCAGAAGGCAGATGAGTTAATTCAAGAGATGAAATCTGTAGGGATTGTGTTGAACAAGGTTTGTTTCCTTTTACTCCAACTACTGAAGCTAAATTGAGTCGGCACATTTATCTCCCTTGTTTTTATATATATTATTTTGTTGCAGGTTGTTTTGACAACTTTACTCAAAGTCTATGTTAAAGGTGGTTTATTTGAGAAATCAAGAGAACTTCTGAATGAATTGGAAGCTTTAGGCTATGCCAAAGATGAGGTACATGATTTATTCCTGCAGTTGGCTCAACTGCATATTTGATGCTGCTCTGTGATCTGTGCACGTGAAAAAGAAAATGCTGATTAGATCATTTCGATGAAATTATATTTTAGTGATCTTTTTTTTAAGGATATAATGTTTTCGTGGTCTTATATGCATAATGTTGCAATAGTTGACTGGTTTTTGGCATCTCCGAATTAGTTTATCCCTTGCCGTTCCTTTTTCACATTTTAAAATTTGTTATTCGGGATGTATCATCTTGGAAGTTGTATATCCACAATAGTCGGGTCTTTTTTCTTTTTTTCCTTTCCTTTTATTTTATTTTATTTTATTTTTTCCAACTTTCCAACTTCACTTCACACCGAGTTCCTAGTCCAACCTACTTCTGTAAATTTTACCTGTTGTTTCTATCTAATGTTCTACTGGTTCGCCTCTTAGCATGGTTACTCAGTTTTCTGGAATGTTTTCCATTTTGCCTCTTCATTTTTTTGGTTTATTATCCGTCAGTTTTGACGTGCCACTCAACTGCAGATGCCATATTGTATACTTATGGATGGCCTGGTAAAGGCTAGACAAATCCCTGAAGCAAAATCAATATTTGACGAGATGAAGAATAAAAATGTGAAAACAAGTACGTCTATCCTCACCCTGATCTACATGCTAATTTTCTGGGATCTTATAATTCACATTCAGCGTTTGTGATTCGCGTACCTAGTATCTCATGTATAGAGGGGCATGGACAAACTTAGTTTAGACTATGTGATGGCCATAAAGGCGTTTCAGAGAAAAAAGCATGATAAACTGTTTCATTGTGATTTTCAGATACTTCTGGGGTTATATGTGATATTACATACATATGCCTTCTTATTCTCATAGTGGTATTGGCTGGATTTATTGAAAATGTCTGCAGATGGCTACTGCTACAGTATTATGATTTCAGCATTCTGCCGCATTGGACGCCTCAAGGATGCAAAGGAATTAGCTTCTAGCTTTGAAGCTGAACATGACAAATATGATGTAGTTATTTTAAACACAATGCTCTGTGCTTACTGCCGAGCAGGAGAAATGGAAAATGTCATGAAAATGATGAAGAAAATGGATGAATTAGCAATCACTCCCGACTGGAATACCTTTCGAATTCTGATCAAGTACTTTTCCAAAGAAAAGCTCTATATACTTGCTTACCGTACTCTGGAGGACATGCACGCAAAAGGCCATCGACCGGACGAGGTAAGAGAATCCTATCAATAGATCTCACAATTGTGTCAGTGATAATGTCGATGTCCAGTGGAAGGACTTTATGAAAATTAATTATTGAACTCAGCAGTGAAAGATCTTCTAGTCTTCTTATGCATAAAGAACTTATTTGTGCATTCGAGAAGAACCGGCATTTTGTTCCTCCAGTGTAACTGAGGTTGATGTTTCAGCCTGCTTATTCTTTTACCGTCGATAAGCTGACGAATTTTGATCAATTGCAATCAAGATCACTACTTCAAGCATAGCATAATATGAAACGTTTTTAGAATCAAACATCATCTGTCAGATTCATGCCATAACCAAGAACACGAGTTTTTGTTTTTCTTCTTTTCCTTCTTTTTCCTTTTGTGTTATATCTGTTGGCGCAAAAGATTTATTTCATTAAAAGATCTGAATGGTTTTCCCAGACATCTAGTATGATAACTACTTGGTTAGATGCCTATTCCTAGTTCCTTTAACACTAGATATTAGGATAGTCCTCTGGGAGCAGGTCTCCCAAATTTCCTTACTTGACATGAAGTTTGAGGCCACTATTCATCTTTTAATGCTGCAAACAGGGATTGCTTTCTACAGAATAATGCCTTCACACAGTAGACTAGAGCAGCAGAGTGAGACTAATATAATTTTCTTTTGTTTATTGGTTATTACCTTTCAGGAGTTGTGTTCTTTTCTGATTTACCATCTCGGTAAAACTGGTGCCCATGCGGAAGCATTTTCTGTATATAATATGTTGAGGTACGGCAAAAGAGCCATGTGCAAGGCTCTTCATGAAAGGATTCTACACATATTAATTCAAGGGCAACTACTGAAAGATGCATATTTAGTAATCAAGGTATGGATTCTTTTAGGCTATTATACTTTTTCAAATTTTTTCCATGCAACTTTATGAAATACCCTCAATTCATGCAGGACAATGCGGACTTTATTTCCAAGCCTGCTATAAAGAAGTTCACCATTTCCTTTATGAAGTCAGGCAATATAAACTTGATTAATGATGTACTAAAGGCCATCCATGGTTCAGGATTCAAGATTGGACAGGTAACAATATCTCTTATGTGATCATATATTTTTACTGTATTCTAGATAGTTGGTTTTTCTTCGGAAAAATATGGAACATAACTTGCAAATTTCAACAGGAAATATTTCACGAAGCTATATCACGATATCTGGAAAACTCTGAGAAGAAAGAACTTCTCCTTCACTTGCTACAGTGGATGCCGGGTCAAGGCTACTTTGTCGAATCATCCACCAGAAACTTGATCCTCAAGAATTCTCACTTGTATGGGCGTCAGGTCATTGCTGAACTGTTATCCAAGCATCATTTGGTGTCAAAAGCCATGAAGTCTCGTGAGACAAGCACCTGATGGAACATTCTGTGTGAAGAACGAGAGGTTACAACGTTGATCAAAATCCATTGTTTCCGTCTGAAAATGGATTAGGTTTTGTTCGGGAGAAGGAAGAAGACAATACGGAAGCACCACGGAGTGGAAGTTGGCACCGGAAAAAGATGAACAAAGTGAAAAGATGTCAGTTGGATGAGTAATTCTGCTGTTGCCTTATGACATCAAATCAGGATATGTATGGTTGCAAGAAAATTGCAGGTCACAGAACCACGGTATCTTAAGAGTTCCTTGGCTACATACCAAAACAGGGGTTCATAACCTGGTTGATGCGGCTCAAGGGAGTATCGCGAAGAATAGAAGATAGAATGGGCCGAGTGCATAATCCCTGGAAGTGCATCAGGTTGTGGTGGGGAAAAGAGGAAACTATTCCCGAAAATTGCTATTGGAGTCTAGAAATTGCTTGATATTAGTCAATTATTTTTTCCCCTGGAAGATTACTTACTGATGGAAGTACTCTGTAGTCAAACAAACGTTTGCCTTTGGTGAGACAGGAGGACAGTTATGAATGAAGGACACAGAAGAGATGAGATTGAAGTCCATGGAGGGGAAACAAAAAAAAGACGAAAAATTAGAGCAGAAGAAGAAGAAGAAGAAGAAGAAGAAGAAACTAAAATAGAAAAAATACGAGGGAGGTTGAAGACAACGTGCAGGCCAAGTAAAATTGGCGCAGAAGAAAAGAACCTGACCACATTTGTGTAAATGTTTTGCTAGTGAAAAATGAAGTTAGTCATGATGATTTGCAGATTTTTTGTTGGGCTTCCATGTCTTAATTGTAGTTTCCTATTCTGATTTGGAAAAAAAAAAAAAATTAAATATACAAAAAATAAGTCGGCGACGTCAACCGCCTGAATCAAAGCAGAATTCGGATTATGTCGGTTCGTGGGGATTTTTTTTTTTTTTTTTTCCTTCTCTCCACCTCCTGAAAACCTAATTTGATTCAACTCGGATTCTTTTTGGTTGTGACATAGAGAGAATCATGTGGAGTGGAAATCCAACCGACGTTGATATGGTGGATGTCGCCCCACCGCGGGAGGCGCAGATTGAGGACAAGGCTCGGAAGTGGATGCAAATCAAATCGAAGCAGTACAGTGATAAGAGGAGATTCGGATTCGTTGAACCCCAGAAGGAAGATATGCCGCCGGAACATGTGCGGAAGATCATCAGGGATCACGGCGACATGTCGTCCAACAAGTTTCGTTACGACAAGCGCGTGTACCTGGGAGCCCTGAAGTTTGTTCCTCACGCGATTTACAAGCTCCTTGAGAATATGCCAATGCCTTGGGAACAAGTCCGGAATGTGAAGGTCCTGTACCATGTTACCGGTGCTATAACCTTTGTCAACGAAACTCCACGGGTTGTTGAGCCTGTTTATTTGGCTCAGTGGGCTACCATGTGGATTATGATGCGTCGGGAGAAGAGGGATCGGCGCCACTTTAAGAGGATGCGATTTCCGCCTTTTGATGATGAGGAGCCTCCCCTGGATTATGCTGATAATCTTCTGGATTTGGATCCTATTGAACCCATTCAGTTGGAGTTGGATGAGGAAAAAGATTCTGCTGTATATTCTTGGTTTTACGATCATAAGCTCCGGGACCTGGTGAAAGATAAGTCTGTTAATGGCCGGAAGTGGAATTTGCCTCTTCCAACAATGGCAACTCTTGACCGGCTCGCTGGACAGCTTCGGACTGATCTAACTGATGGTAATTACTTCTACTTATTTGATAAGGAGTCTTTTTTCACTGCTAAAGCACTCAACATGTGTATACCTGGTGGACCAAAGTTTGAGCCATTGTATCGGGACAACTTGGAGAAAGGAGATGAAGATTGGAATGAATTTAATGACATTAACAAGCTTATAATCAGGGCACCCCTGAGGACAGAGTACAGGATTGCTTTCCCTCACCTGTATAACAATAGACCCCGAAAGGTGAAGCTTGGAGTTTATCATACTCCTATGGTAATGTACATTAAGACGGACGATCCTGACCTTGATGCCTTTCATTATGATCCTCTGATTAACCCTATACCCAGTTCTACCAACAGTAAGGACAGACAGGAGAAGAAACAATCCGAAGAGTATGTTGATGACTTTGAGTTCTGTTTGCCTGAAGGGGTTGAACCCTTACTCGAAAGTACTCCTCTCCATAGTAAAACCACTGCCGCTGGTATTTCGCTTCTTTTTGCTCCGAGGCCTTTTAACACGAGATCTGGTCGCATGCGGCGTGCTGAAGATATACCTCTGGTATCTGAGTGGTACAAGGAACACTGTCCTTCATCTTATCCTGTTAAAGTTCGGGTGAGTTATCAGAAGCTGTTGAAGTGTTACATAATGAATGAGCTGCATCGCAGGCCACCCAAGTCTCAGAAAAAGAAACACCTTTTAGGGTCTCTTGCAGCCACAAAATTCTTTCAGTCTACTGAACTTGATTGGGTTGAAGCTGGTCTTCAAGTATGTAAACAAGGGCACAATATGTTGAATTTGCTGATTCACAGGAAGAACTTGAATTATCTGCATCTTGATTACAATTTCAACTTGAAGCCAGTGAAGACTCTCACTACCAAGGAGCGGAAGAAGTCCCGTTTTGGCAATGCTTTTCATCTGTGTCGTGAAACACTACGGCTGACGAAGCTTGTGGTTGATGCCAACATCCAGTTCCGCTTGGGAAATATTGATGCATTTCAGTTGGCCGATGGATTGCAATATATTTTTTCACACGTTGGGCAGCTGACTGGGATGTACAGATACAAATACAGGCTTATGCGGCAGATAAGAATGTGCAAGGACTTGAAGCACTTGATTTACTACCGATTTAATACTGGGCCTGTTGGGAAAGGACCTGGGTGTGGTTTCTGGGCTCCCATGTGGAGAGTGTGGTTGTTCTTCCTTCGCGGGATTGTTCCTCTTCTTGAAAGATGGTTGGGGAATTTAATGGCTAGACAGTTTGAAGGAAGGCTTTCCAAAGGGGTTCCTAAAACTGTAATGAAGCAACGGGTTGAAAGCCACTTCGATTTGGAGCTTCGTGCTGCTGTAATGCATGATGTTCTCGATGCTATGCCAGAGGGTATGAAGCAAAACAAGGCCAAAACGATCCTGCAACACTTGAGTGAAGCATGGCGTTGCTGGAAAGCAAATGTCCCGTGGAAAGTCCCTGGTTTGCCAGTTCCTATTGAGAACATGATTCTTCGGTATGTCAAGTCAAAAGCTGATTGGTGGACGAATGTGGCTCACTACAATCGTGAACGTATTCGAAGAGGTGCAACTGTGGACAAAACAGTTTGTCGGAAGAACCTTGGAAGATTGACTCGGCTTTGGATGAAAGCCGAGCAAGAACGCCAGCTTAATTATCACAAAGATGGTCCTTATGTGTCCCCTGAAGAAGCTGTGGCCATTTATACTAAGCACTGGTTGGAATCAAGAAAATTCAGGCATATTCCATTTCCACCTTTATCATACAAGCATGATACAAAACTTCTCATCCTTGCCCTTGAAAGGTTGAAGGAGTCTTATAGTGTGTCTGTGAGGCTAAATCAGAGAGAAAGAGAAGAGTTGGGTCTTATTGAACAGGCTTATGATAACCCACATGAGGCTCTCACACGTATTAAGCGTCATCTTCTCACTGAACGCCACTTCAAAGACGTTGATATTGAGTTCATGGATCTGTACAGCAATTTAGTACCTGTTTATGCGATTGAACCCCTCGAGAAGATCACGGAGGCCTATCTAGATCAGTATCTTTGGTTCGAAGCAGACAAGCGCCATCTGTTTCCAAATTGGATAAAGCCGGCAGATTCAGAGCCACCTCCTTTACTTGTCTACAAATGGTGTCAGGGCATAAATAACTTGCAAGGTATATGGGACACAAGTGAAGGACAGTGTGTTGGTGATGCTTCAGACAAAACTGGAGAGATTTTTTGAGAAGATTGATTTGATATTGCTAAACAGACTTCTTCGGTTGGTGCTAGATCCCTACCTTGCTGATTATATCACAGCAAAGAACAATGTTATGCTCTGTTACAAGGATATGAGCCATCTTAATGAATATGGTCTTATTCGTGGACTGCAGTTTGCTTCATTTGTTGCGCAGTATCATGGACTAGTCCTGGATCTTTTGCTTCTTGGTTTGACTTGAGCGAGTGAGATAGCTGGTCCACCAGAGATGCCAAATGAGTTCTTAACTTATTGGGATACTAAAGTTGAAACACGACATCCTATAAGGTTGTATTCGAGGTACATTGATAGGGTGCACATGCTGATCCAGTTCACCCATGAAGAAGCCCGGGATCTCATCCAGCGGTATCTTACTGAACATCCTGATCTGAACAATGAGAATATGGTTGGTTATAACAACAAGAAATGCTGGCCTAGAGATGCTCGGATGAGGCTCATGAAGCATGATGTGAACCTAGGGAGAAGTGTGTTCTGGGATATGAAGAATCGTTTTCCCAGAGGTATCACCACATTGGATTGGGAGAATAGTTTTGTCTCTGTTTTCAGCAAGGATAATCCCAACTTGCTTTTTAGCATGTGCGGGTTTGAGGTCCGTGTTCTGCCAAAGTTAAGAATGACACAGGAGGCATTCAGCAATGCGAGAGATGGAGTGTGGAACTTGCAAAACTACCAAACCAAAGAGCGTACTGCCGTTGCTTTCTTACGTGTTGATGATGAGCATATGAAAGTGTTTGAGAACCGCGTTCGGCAGATTCTCATGTCATCAGGTTCGACCACGTTCACCAAGATTGTCAACAAGTGGAATACAGCTTTGATAGGCCTCATGACATATTTCCGTGAAGCTACTCTTCATACGCAAGAATTGTTAGATTTACTGGTGAAATGCCAAAATAAAATCCAGACGCGGATTAAGATTGGATTGAACTCGAAAACGCCAAGCAGGTTTCCTCCCCTGTTATTTTACACACCGAAAGAAATTGGGGGTTTGGGAATGTTGTCAATGGGTCACATTTTGATTCCACAGAGTGATCTCCGGTACTGTCAGCAGACAGATGTTGGTGTCACACATTTCAGGAGTGGAATGAGTCATGATGAAGGGAAGTTGATACCAAATCTTTATCGTTACATACAACCATGGGAGAGTGAGTTTATTGATTCCCAACGAGTTTGGGCTGAATATGCTTTAAAGAGACAGGAAGCTCAGGCACAGAATAGGCGGTTGACTCTTGAAGATCTGGAGGATTCATGGGACCGCGGGATTCCTAGGATCAACACTTTGTTCCAGAAGGACAGGCACACACTTGCATATGACAAGGGATGGAGGGTGAGAACAGAGTTTAAGCAATACCAAGTTTTGAAACAGAACCCTTTCTGGTTGACACACCAAAGGCACGATGGAAAGCTGTGGAACTTGAACAATTACCGAACTGATGTTATTCAAGCACTAGGAGGAGTTGAAGGAATATTGGAGCATACCTTGTTTAAGGGAACATACTTCCCTACTTGGGAGGGTCTTTTCTGGGAGAAGGCATCTGGCTTTGAAGAATCCCTGAAGTACAAGAAGCTGACCAATGCACAGAGATCTGGGCTCAATCAAATTCCTAACCGTAGATTTACACTCTGGTGGTCTCCTACAATAAATTGGGCCAATGTCTATGTTGGTTTCCAAGTGCAGTTGGATTTGACGGGGATCTTTATGCATGGAAAGATACCAACTCTGAAGATATCTTTGATACAGATATTCCGAGCCCACCTTTGGCAGAAGATTCATGAGAGTGTTGTCATGGATCTTTGCCAGGCCCTGGATCAAGAGATTGATGCTTTAGAAATCGAGAGTGTGCAGAAGGAGACTATCCATCCCAGGAAAAGTTACAAGATGAACAGTTCGTGTGCAGATATACTCCTCTTTGCGGCCCATCGATGGCCTATGTCAAAGCCTAGCCTTGTGACTGAGTCAAATGATGTGTTTGAACAGAAGCAAGCAATAAGTACTGGCTTGATGTACAGCTCCGATGGGGTGATTACGATTCTCATGACATTGAGCGTTACACAAGGGCAAAATTCATGGATTATACAACAGACAACATGTCGATGTACCCTTCTCCAACTGGGGTGGTGATTGGAATTGATCTTGCTTACAACTTACATTCTGCCTTCGGTAACTGGTTCGGGGGCTCAAAAGAATTGCTTGCACAAGCCATGAACAAGATCATGAAGTCCAATCCTGCTTTGTATGTGCTGAGGGACAGAATAAGGAAGGGCTTGCAGCTTTATTCATCCGAGCCAACTGAACCTTATCTCTCTTCTCAGAATTATGGGGAGATTTTCAACAATCAACTCATATGGTTTGTGGATGACACTAATGTATATCGCGTCACTATACACAAGACTTTTGAAGGCAACCTCACGACGAAGCCCATTAATGGTGCCATTTTCATCTTCAACCCGAGGACTGGCCAGTTATTTTTGAAGGTGATTCATACTAGTATATGGGCAGGACAAAAGCGACTTGGGCAATTGGCCAAGTGGAAAACAGCTGAGGAAGTGGCTGCTCTGGTACGCTCATTACCAGTTGAAGAGCAGCCAAAGCAGATTATTGTCACTCGCAAAGGGATGTTAGATCCATTGGAAGTGCACTTGCTGGATTTCCCGAATATTGTTATGAAGGGAAGTGAGCTTCAGCTGCCTTTCCAAGCATGTTTGAAAATTGAGAAGTTTGGGGATCTGATACTGAAGGCAACAGAATCTCAGATGGTCTTATTCAACATGTATGATGATTGGCTGAAAAGTGTTTCATCATATACTGCCTTCTCCCGATTAATCCTTATCCTGTGTGCACTTCATGTGAACAATGAGAAGGCAAAAATGTTACTGAAGCCTGACAAGACAACTGTTACCGAAACACATCATATCTGGCCCTCTCTCACTGAGGAACAATGGGTGAAGGTTGAGCGTGCTTTGACAGATCTCATATTATCTGATTATGCAAAGAAGAACAATGTGAGCACTTCAGCACTCACACAATCAGAAATTCGAGATATTATCCTTGGAGCTGAAATCACTCCTCCCTCCCAGCAGCGGCAACAAATTGCTGAGATGGAAAAACAGGTAAAGAAATCTACGCAGTTAACAGCTGTCACCACAAAGACCACAGATGTACATGGGAATGAAATCAATGTGGTGACTACTAACCCGTATGAGAATGATCCATTTGCATCCAAAACTGACTGGCGTGTGAGAGCCATTTCTTCCACGAACCTTCATCTTCGAGTGAACCACATATACGTGAATTCTGAGGATATGAATGAGACGGGCTACACTTACATTATGCCTAAGAATATTTTGAAGAAGTTCATCTGCATTGCTGACTTGCGAACTCAAATTGCAGGATACTTGTATGGCATAAGCCCTCCGGATAATCCTCAAGTGAAGGAAATTAGTTGTATTGCCATGCCACCACAGAAGGGAAATCATCAGCACGTAGATTTGCCATCAGCGCTTCCTGAGCATGACTTTCTGAATGTTTTGGAGCCTTTGGGATGGATGCATACCCAGCCAAATGAATTTCCCCAGTTGTCTCCTCAGGATTTAACGAATCATGCTCGAATTCTGGAAAGAAACAAGCAATGGGATGGAGAGAAATGTATCATCTTAACATGCAGTTTTACACCAGCTTCTTGCTCATTAACTGCATATAAGCTTACACCACCTGGTTATGAGTGGGGCCATTCCAACAAGGATACAGGAGGAAATCCTCCTGGTTACTTGCCAACATATTATGAGAAGGTTCAGATGCTTTTGAGTGATCGCTTCCTTGGTTTTTACATGATTCCAGATAATGGTCCATGGAATTATAACTTTATGGGTGTAAAGCATAATGGGAGCATGCAATATGGAGTGAAGCTGGGGAATCCAAAGGAGTACTATCATGAAGATCATCGACCAACACATTTCTTGGGCTTCAACAACTCGGAAGATGGTGAGAGTGCAGAAGGTGACCGCGAGGATACATTTTCTTGATTCTAGCTTTTCCCCAGAAACATGTAGAGTTGGGTATTTGAAGGATCTTTATGTTTATTGCACTCATGACTCTCGAAGTAGTATAGGTAAAGGCTTTTGTTTTATACTACCTTGTAATACGTTTTGCGCATGCTTTTACTCTTTTGCAATGAGTTTCATAAACTTTTATTAAATGCAGGATACTATCCCTTTTATTTAACTGGAAGAGCATCAAACACTAACGTTACATGCATACACCTTACAGTGCCTTTTTTTTTATTAAATGATAGTTTTGCTTTATGCTCTAAGTAATGATGGTGATGACTACAGTTACTATCTTAGGGATCCTCGTTTCAACTGCTGAGATCTAACAGGGATCTTTGAATCCTGTCACCTTTTTTACTAGCTCATTTCCGTTAAATGTCAGTTTTTCTGAGTTAATATTATTTTGATTGCAGTGGTTCACAAGATCAATCAAGGGAACTTCTAAATGACTTGTAATTTCTCGGCTATGCAGAAGGTGAGGCATATGGTTTATCTCTTCTGTTGGCCCAGTTTATGCTTATTCACACGATGAAAGTTTTCAACTTTGGGGTAGCATTTGCGATTCTTGCTTTGGTGATATGCGCATGGGGGGAAATAAAAGCTTATTAGTTCAGCATTCCGGATTTGGCATTTGGATGAAAGTAAATTTAATGCTTTTGCATCATAGTGTTGCAGTTTTTTTTTGGCTGTTTGGTTTTAATTATACATTTTGTTTCTGAAATGTGAAAATTGGAATGACTGTAAATTAATTTGAGAGTGAAACATGTACAAATGAGGATATGAAGCCAAAGAGTCGATTTTGCAGATGCTCTACACCTGATTGTCCACAAGACATTAATTTTAGTAAATTTTGCCCTACATAGATTACGAGTTCCTGTTTTGCTAGCCTGTAACATTAACAGCGGTTGTCAATAGCTTAATCTCTGTGATCATTGATTGTCATCCTCTCTGAGGTGAAGGGTTAAAAAGCTAGATAAAAATGTTTTCAATGATCAGCAATGTTGGGAATCTCCACAGGGTACATATGAATCCTATCAGACCATGCACTTCTTACTTTTGGGTTAAGTTCTGAGATGCATTTCCAAACTGCACTATTACATTTAAAGCCACTGCCAAAAGCAATTTGCCAAATTCGATCTCCCTTTCTTACCTTACCTTTAGCCTCCAAATAGCACAACTCATACCAGACTGAAGAAGATGAAGTGTTGCCGAACCTGTATAGAGTCATCCTGGAAGGTTCTCCATCTTCCTTGCTTAGACCAAGCTTTTCCTCAATGGCATCGATGACTGCCCTCCCTCCAGCATGTATGCAAAAATGCTCAAAGGCCTTTTTGAAATCAGGGAGATATAATTGATGCCTACCACCTCGAGAGATTTTCTTATGGATGATGGACCACACATACTGAAGTTGTTCGGAATATGGAAGAACAGATGGTCCTAACTCTGATATGTTTGTCTTCAGAGCATTTCCAGCCACATGTAATAGCGACTTTGAAAGGGCTACCCCAAGGTGCCCATGCTCGTCATTCTCTTGGAAAACAGACCTGTATGATTGATCATCTGAAGCCATGTGTGTTCTCTGAAGATATTGGAGTTTGTACTTGGCTCTTTGTCTGTCACGCTTCTGGTTGGACAGTAAAATGGCTACACCTCCCATCCGGAACAAGGTGTTGGTCAAGAGCATGGATTTCACATTCCCACAATAGCCATTTGGGGTTACAGTTTCAATACTAAGAACCAAAGCTAATGAATTGCCATGCACTTTTAGCAGGTCTTTAGCTAAACTTACAGCTATCAGCCCTGAACTGCAACCCATTCCACTGAGGTTGACACTCTTTACATTGGTTCTGAAACCAAATTTGTTTATAATCATAGCTGTGATAGAAGGTGTTGGGCAGAATATACTGCAGTTGCATACAAGAATATCGATGCTCTTGGGAGTGATTTTGTGTTTACTCAGAAGATCTTCAACAACGGTGAAGAGAACAGTTTCTGTTTCTTCTCTCGACGGGTTTAAAGAAGTATCTGGAGGTATTTGATGCAGAGCTTGAGGAACACAGGCCTCACTCCCAATACCTGATCTCAGAAGTGCTTTTGTCTGAAAATCAATCCCTTCTCTCTCATGAACATTGCATCGTTCAAAGTGTTCAATGAAATTAGCCGTTGTGATTCGGAGATTATCAGGTGGTAGGTAGCATGAGAAATCAAGGAGATAAATGCATTTGGATGTATTATAGTAGAAATAGACAATCAAAACTAGGAAAAATGATGCTAGTAAATGAAAGTAAGCATGAGGCAGTGAGACATCTAGGAGGCCAAGAGAATCTGTAAAGAAATAACCTCTCAATGAGCTCATCGTTTGTTTTGATCTTTGGATGATACAATAGATTGCTTTTTCTGCCCTCTCTGAGCTTAAACCAGCAGGATTTGTAGCTCACAGTAGGGCTTCAATTGCAAAGTCTTTGTTAGTATTTTTGAACTACTAATGTTGTCAAAACGAAAACTTGTCTAACACACAGAAAATGTGAAGAATAACTTCCAACACGATTGCGCTCTACTTATTTCATAGTACTAATTTATACACATGAGGCGCAACTGCATGCAAAGACACACACTGTTGGTGTTTTTGCTTAGATGGATTGATTCCTATCAAAGAAGAAGAATTCCATATAAGAAGGGAAGACTGCTTTTTGTGGGTGTCACGTAACCAACTATGATGCTTCCAAATATCAAATTCATACTTTTTCTATTTTGAAAGCAGAAGAAACGTCTCCTCTTTGGCCAACTTCTTTACGCAAGAGTTGTGTGGTGTTTTCAAACGAAAAACAGAGCTGTGGTTTGTTCATTTGTATTTGTCTTTTTTGTATTCACCATCGACTGTAAATTTGTAATTACCAAAACACAATGGAAATTAAATACACAGAGCCAAAGCATAATGAAATTGAATTTAAAAAAATAAAAATACAGAAAGTTTGCTCCTTTCTAATATCAACCTCTAGATTTACTGGACTTCGTATAAACTGCCAATCTACTACTACTCTGATAATAGTCTCCGAATAAACTCTCCTTATCCCTTCAACCGCAGAAATGGATACTTCCTATCCCACACCCATAGCTCCGACCAAGACGAGAATTGGGTTTGTCGGAATCGGGGTGATGGGCGGCGCCATGGCTTCTCGCCTTCTCTCTGCCGGCTATACCGTCAGTATCTTCGCCCGCACTCCTTCCAAGGCCGCTCCTCTGCACTCCAAAGGCGCCCATTTGGCTTCCACCCTTGCCGACCTTGCAGGTCTGAGTGATGTGATCTTTACTATGTTGGGGCACCCGTCAGATGTTCGACAAATTGTGTTAGAGAATCTCCTCCCCTGTCTCAACCCCAACACCGTTATTGTGGATCATACTACTAGCCACCCGACATTGGCCAAGCTCATATACGATTCCGCCCTTCAAAGGAACTGCCATTCCGTTGATGCTCCGGTCTCCGGGGGTGACATTGGTGCTAGAGATGGTAAATTGGCAATTCTAGCTGGGGGAAATGAGGATGTGGTGAATTGGTTGAAACCATTGTTTGATGAGATGGGGAGAGTCACATATGTTGGGGGGCCTGGAAAGGGTCAGCATTGTAAGATCGCGAACCAGATTACCGTGGGAGCGAATTTATTGGGGTTGAGTGAAGGGCTTGTTTTCGCGGAGAAAGCAGGATTGGACAAATCCAAGTTCTTGGAGGCAGTGACAGGCGGTGCTGCTGGATCCATGGTGCTGGAACTGTTTGGGGAGAGGATGATAAAAAGGGACTTCAAACCCGGGGGTTTCGCGGAGTATATGGTGAAAGACTTGGGAATGGGAGTGGATGTTGAGGAGGAAGAAGGTACTCAGGTGGTGGTGTTGCCTGGTGCTGCTCTGTCTAAACAGTTGTTTGCTGCAATGGTGGCTAATGGTGGTGGGAAGCTTGGTACTCAGGGGCTAATATCAGTCATAGAGAAGATCAATGGCCATTGAGAAAATGCAATCAACCAAATGGGGAAGAGCTTGGAATTTCATGGCTCATTTATCACTCAGAATCTTACATCGTGCTTTAAAATTTAATTCAATTCTGCTAGCTCGCAACTCCAAAAGGGTTGTTGTTCGGTTACTTGTAGAGTTTGGTTATGGCTTCTTCTTGTTATTTAGTCGATGAGTAAAACGTATTATGTTGTACAATGTACATAGACCAAACTGTTTTGGGAATTGCAAAGATGTCTTCCTTGATTTATATCAGTTTCAATTAGAATTATATTCCTCCGTTCCAAAATTATCGTTCAGTTTGAATTTTCAGTTTTAATAAAAATCGAACTAAAAATGAAAATCCAAACTAGACAATAGTTTAGGGAGAGAGGGAGTAATTCTTTGAAACAAGATGCACGATGCCACAAAATCCCGCGATGTTTCCATCCGTTTCAACTTTCAAACATATAATCATGTTTGCTGGACGAAAAATAGTTTCTTCAAAGACAACTCAAATATGATAAAGTCTAACAACACTCTTAACGGTTGAATACGAAGTACAATATAAAGAGATTATTGAAGTCCAAAATTGTTGCTGATCAGGACAAACCTAAGAAGTTGATCAATAAATCACATCTTCACGGAATTGGAGCATCGGAGTACATGGTGGCACTTGCACTATGACATTTCTAGGCCTGCCACCAATCAAAGTGGCGAAACTGGGGGAATGAGAACAGATGAAGCTGCCATTTATGTCCTCCAAAAGCTCTGCTGTGCCCGGAATTCAATCTGCAGAACCGGAGATCTTACCTGGTCATCATTGAGACCAGAGGGCAATTGATGATCATCAGAAACCATGATTCTCGACTTCGATCGAACCAAGATAAACAAAACCAAACAAGATTTTCCAAAGAATCAATCAAGTAATTGATGATAGATTCTTGGTGTCCCAATTATTTCGTCCTGAGATGTTTCCCGCGCAGACTCGCTGTCTATCTTGGGTTTGGGAGAGCTGAGTTTAAAGATGTATTGGATCAGAATTGGATTGGTAGTAACATTTGGGCTTAAGGGCCCAAAATCTTAGGTTGGATGTGCGTTGGACTTGGAGATCTCAATTGTTTTTTATTTATTATTATTTATTTTAGTTTATACATATGAAAATTGTTCTCAATTTGGAATTACAAGAAATAATTAAATTATTAATCATAACTTAGAGATTGATTCATGAGTATACGAAAATTAGAAATTCTTAGTCAAATGAGATTGTGATTAATGAATTTCATCAAATTATACTGTTTATACATATGTTGGGTTATACTACTAAATCCGTCCCAAAAAAAAGTCCATATTGAGTTTTGAGATTTGTACTAGTTTTGATTCAAATTTGAAAACTCAATATAGACTATTTTTCTAGGACGGAGGGAATATTATATAGAACATATATAGGTAAGAACCAAAAATTGGAGTGCTTGTTTGGGTTGTTACTTTTTAGGGGTTGTTTATCACGTTTTTGGAATTTGAGTGTTTGATAATGATTTTCTTTTCATTTATGGATTAGTGACATATTTCATTTTTAAATATCGTAGTGGTAACAATGATGAATACATACAAAAAACTACACAAGCTGAAAATAAAATATATATATATATAATATAGAGTAGATTTATTAAACATCAATTTGGTATAATTTGGAGTTGAAAACGGCTATGCACGATTTTTACGTATATTTTATTCTTTTTAATATGTTTTGTAGGTGTTAAAAAGATCATATGTTTTCATATTTAGTTTTTTCTTTTATATTTGTACTATAGTGAAAATTGAATTAGACAGTCATTTCAAGATTGCACTAAAAGTCATTTCAAGATTGCTCTGAAAGTAAAATATATAACTAGATAATGAGTTCTAGATGAAGGGAGTAAGGTACATGGGCAAATCCAGATATGAAGGAAAAAACCAATCATATGTTACGGTATAGAAATATTATTTTCTCATGTCCACTTAGTGAGAAGTTTTTAGAATTTGAGCATTTGGTAATGATTTTCTTTTCACGTTTTAAATTAGTGACATTTTTTTTTCAATATCATAGTGGTAACAGTAACAAATACATATCAATGAGAAGGTTTTTTTTTTTTTCTTTTCTAAGAAAATGGGCATTGCATTTTTCGGCCCCTAAGGATATCTCCAATCATTACACTATATTTTACACAAAATTAGTGTAGAAATAAAATATTCCTACCATCTTTTTGCACCAAAATTTTTTTGCACTCCAACCTTGATACACCAAATTTGGTGTGAAAATAAAATTTTTTCACATTACATTTTCATTGAATTATGATAATTCATATTTATGCTACAAGTTTTTATAATATAGTGTTTCGGGTTGTAGTTCGTGAAGTACTTATTCTTTTTAATACTTTTGTTATTATTCAATTTTAATGGTAATAAACATAAATTTTTTACAAAATAAATATTATAGGTGATATGGGTCTTGTTTTGAAGATCTCAAAAAATTAAATAATATGATATCACTTTAATAATATAATATATTTTTTAAGTTTAAAAATATATCAAATCATGTTTTCTATCAAAATAAAAAAAAAATAGTGCACAAAGATAGTGCAATTGTTAGTTTACACCAAATTTGATGTAACTTTATTCATTGCACTAAAATAGTGCACTAATTTGGTGTTTTCTTGGAATATAAATTTTACATCAAAACACCAAATAGATTGTTTTGGTGTCTTCCTTGAAAATGCTCTAAAGAGGTCATTATATTGAGATCTTGGAATATCACGGTGATGATGATAAACATCCAGCTCGGGCATTCGGCCTTTTCCGATGATCTTCACATTTGAAGACTTTCACTGTAAACTAATTTTTTTAATGTCTACTCCCTCCAGTCCTTAATATAAAGCATTTTGATCTTGTCCTGCGTTTCACCTAATACGCATTTTTAATTCACGCAAAAAGTTTAAAAATATATTTGCACATTCATCGTATTGTCTTGATTGCTATGAATGTTTTTAAGGTTTTTTTGTCAATTAAAAATACGTACTAAATGAAACATAGGACGAAAACAAAATATCTTGTATTAAGAACCGGAGAGAATATTTTAAAGATAAGGATACGCCGAATGATTTAAAACACTTATATTTTCTGTATGCACATAAGATATTCAATACATGATATATCACGGATTTGCCTGGGCAAGCATCTATTTTGTTTAATAGAATCTACAAGTGCCTGATAATGCTAATGATGAAACTAAAATGAAAGTTGGTTTGACACTAATACAAAATCAAATATCCACTGAAATGCGGAAATTTTGGTATATTTACCTAAGTATAGAATATTTTTGGGATACATGTGATAATACAGATAAATTTCTGAAGAAAAATGATGTGCAGCAATCGAAACGAGTGGTAGACAATATATGTAGAAGGAAGAAAACTTGGAAAAGGAATTAATTGCAATATAGAATGAAGAAAATCCGGAAAATTAAGGAAATAATTAAATTCTCCACCTACGGCGAAACAAAATGAGGTAGAGATTAATGGGCATGTTCTTCATGATAAGGAAATTTTCATTCACATACTCTGGAATTTTGGAGTGTACCCTAGTGTAGAACATGTCTCTAATACAAACATCAACAACAATAACTATAATAATAATTTCTTTTGTTGCGTAAAAACCTTGTATGTGCAGCTATTGCAGCTGGATATTATTACATTTGGAGAGCAAGGAATCAGATGATCCATGAAGGACGGTGCAGGTCTGCAAAAAGCTGTGTTGTGGATATCCAGACAGAGCTGAAATGGAGGGTGAGGAGCAAGATACCAAAACCAACTGTCAGTGAAAAGGAACTTCTGCAATCTTTGGCCTTATGGTGAAGCAGTATGGTCATAGAAAGTACCGAGTGTCCCGGTTTTTGCTGTGTTTTCTTTTGTAGTTCTTTGTGTGAGAATAGTTAGTATGATAGCCGAGTGTAAATGATGTAAATAAGTGACAGTTTTGAGCCTTTTTTTTTTTTTTTGAAGAAAAGCAATATAATTTACTCGTTACCGGAAAAAAAAATTAGGCAGGCCATGGTTTTCGACCGGCGATGCTTTATGGATCCGAGTGTTGGGCCACTAAATATGAAAATGAGCAAAAAATGAAAATAGCGGAGATGAGAATGTTAAGATGGATGTGTGGGCATACTAGACTAGATAGGATTAGAAATGATGATATTAGAGAGAAAGTAGGGGTAGCTCCAATAGACGAAAAAATGAGAGAAAACCGTTTAAGATGGTTTGGGCATGTGCGTAGGAGACTGGTAGAGGCTCCGGTTAGAAGGGTAGAGGCTATAGAATCAAGATTTCAAATTAAAAGGGGTAGGGTAGACCTAAGAAAACATGTAAAGAAACTATAAAAACGATTTGAAATTTTTAAATTTGTCCAGATGAGTTGTGCACCGACCGTACACGATGGCGACATATGATCCATATAAATGACCCCACCTAGTGGGAAAAGGCTTGTTGTTGTTGTTGTTGTTGTTGTTGTATGGTGCTATCTATACTTGTACCAAAGAGGTGAAGTATTCAAGCGTTTTTTCGGCATAGTATGACATTCTAAGTCCAAGGACAATAAAAAAAAAGCACAGTGAAACATAGACATTATCTTCTCAAGATCAAAGCTACTTTTTTTTTCTTTTTTTTTTAAGATCAAAGCTGCCCTAATATGTTATGTGTGTGTGTGTGTGTGGGGGGGGGGGGTGTTAAATCAGAACCAGAGGTTAACATCACAAATCACAAGCAAACTCCATTGTGGGTCCGAGCCAAATTAAATTACTTATTACATTACATACATAACATTTGCATGATGCACCACAAATAGCAAAAATTGGCAAAACAAAAGCAGCAATTAGTACCATCTACTATAACATGCCTGTTAATTTATAAGAAAACCAAACGAGCCAAAAAAGAAAACACACACACACAAACAAAGATCCATCAGCAGGCAATCATCAGCTCTCATGCATCTTCTACATCTTCTATTGATGAATATTCATATTCAGTCACAGTTTCTCCTACATCTTCCTTGTCAAAAACCACCTTCCAGCCATCAGCGCCAACATAGTACCCTGAGAGAGTGAGAGAGAGAGAGAGAAAGAGAGGGAGAGAGAAACAATAAGATAAACACACACATAGACACACAAGCTAAATTAAAACAAAGTGAAAAATAGGAAACATACCACTAATGAAACGACCAGTTTGTCCATTTACATAGTGGCGTTTAACCATAGATGCAGCAAAGCGAATAGATCCTTTGGCAAACTTTACAGCATCCTCTTCAAGCATATCCTCACGGAAACCCCTATACAGAAAGACCAACAAATTAGAAAGACCAAGGTGACAAGAGAATTTAACATTTTACGTGAGATACTAGATATCAACAGGAAAAGGAGGCAACTACCCGGTATCGTATCTATATGTAGCAAATATTGAACCAGATCCAGCAGCAACAAGTCCTTCTAAAGAAGGCTTACCGTCACCATCCACGCAATACAATCTAGGCCTCTACATGAAGACAATCATAATCATGAGGGTAGTGATCAAGGAGGGCTGAATCTGAAATTCCATTTGTAAGAAGAATGATACCAACATTCAAAACTCCGTCCCATCCTGCAATCGTTATTTTCATTGAAGAACCCCTCTCACTGCTAGACGAACATAGAGAGGCAACCACCCATTGTGATACCTCTTCAACAGAGCTTATTTTCCCCTTTCCGCGTTCATGCTCTTGGTACTATATCGTAGAATAAAACTAATCACGTGTCTCCCCAAAGACAGCCACATAACCATACAAAAATACAAACAACAACCTAGTTTTTTACCCATTTTTGGGAATAGAGAGTAACAAAAGTATATATCGCCAGACATTCCTGACACACACATATAGGAACCAGGGATCAACCTAGTATGACTCTTTACATACTTACAATTCTCTATTGAAATTGCACTAGCAAAAAGAAAAGTAAATGTGGCACCTTGCTTTGGAGATCTCTGAGAAAGGATCCACAGTTCTCTACCTCTCCAGAAAAAGCAACAAGAATGTGACTGCTAAGATCAATAACGTTCTCGACAGATTCTGATGCAAAATTTAGAGAAGTTTAATTAGTAACACTCCCTTCGTCCCAAAGAGAGTAAAGAGGCTAGGGCACTTACATTATATACATAAAACTAACACATAAGCAAAAGTACGGAAAAAACTCACCACAGGAATGATGATTAACAGCAACTATAACCCCTCGGTTTAAAACAAAGGCAAAAGTAGTGATTCCCTTCTCCACCTCTGGGGCTACATCTCTCTCCTGAAAACACCATTCAAAAAAAGAAAGAAATAATAAATATGGTAAAACCAACGGAAAATGCGTAAGGAAAATCAGAGAAATGGGGGAGAAGACTAACGTCAATACTCATATCACTGCCACTGCCACTGTCATCGTCGCTCTCTGAACTAAGGCCATCGTCGAAAGGAAGGGGAATGAACCTACTCTTAGCAGAAATATGTACGGCAGCCTTCAATCAAAGCAGATATAAACAAAATCGAAACAAATAAGTACAATCATAATCAAAGAAGAAAGAAAAACATCAAATTTTAAGTTATTATATGTGGGATTCTTTCCCTTGTAATTCGTAAACAATCCAATTCGCAGGAGGAAACGGAATTTTAAAAAGAAATCAGAGATTTTACCATGTTATCAATCAGATCATCGGATCGACTGCTTTCAGATCTCATGGTTCTCGACTTCAACCCAAGCAAGATGATCAAAATCAAGTGCAATCAGCGAATAAACCAAAAAAAAAAACGGACAGGCAAATCCCAATTTCAATCGATGATGATAGAGATGGAGATCCGTGCCCTAATTATTCGCCGATCGATCCAGTGCACGGGGGCGGGTTAAGATTTATTGAATCAGATAGGTAAAAATAATTGGGCCTAATTCACGGCCTAAAACTTAATATCTGCTTTTGGTCCAATACTCCAATTTGTGTTGTGTCAGATTTAAACTCCATCCCATCCTGCAATCGTTATGTTCATTGATGAACCCGTCTCACTGCTAGAAGAACAAAGATTCTCAGCCACCCATTTTGATGCTTCTTCAACAGAAATTATTTTCCCCTTTGCAAGTTCATGCTCTTGGTACTATATCATAGAATGAAACTAATCATCAGTCTCCCCAAAGACAGCAACATAACCATAAAAGACTACAAACAACAACCTAGCTTTTTGCACTTGTGTTTGGGAATTGAGAGTAACAAAAATCTATCCAGTGAGACATTCCCCGTACACAAAACGCACTTATATATTTCCCTGTTTCCCACATCCAGAAACAAGGGATCAATCTAGGACGAATCTTGGCGTACATGTTACACCCTATTGATATACTAGAAGCAAAACGGATAGGAGAAAAGGTACCTTGCTATGGAGATCTCTGATAAACAATCCACAGTCCTCTATATCACCAGAAAATGCAATAAGAACGTGACTACCTAGACGAATAACGTTCTCAACCAATTCTGATGCCGAATTAGTAACTTCTTATAATAAATTTAAAGCACTTCCCTCACATACAACTAACATACATATTGACATAGTATGAGAGACTCACCACATGAGTATATTGATTAGCAGCTACAATAACCCCTTGTTTAAAAATAAAGGCCAAGGTAGTAGTCTTTTCCCTTTCCACCTCGGAGCCTACATATTTCTTCTTAGAAGACCAGCATAAAAGAAAGAATAAAAACGTAAAGCTAACTGAAGAAAAGAAAGAAAGGAAACGAAGAAAAATGGGGAAAATACTGACGGAATCATCAACGTCAGTGCCATAGTCACTCTCGTCTTCATCATCTTCATCATCCGTGTCCTTTCCAATATTCTTGTAATTTGCATCGGTAGAAATCCCTTCTTCAGGCTCACAGTTTTCACGAATCTTGATACCGCGCTTCAAAAAACAAACAATCGAGACAATATCAATAATCAAAGTAAAAGGAAAAAGGAATATAGATTCTTCCCCTAATTTTGATTAAAACCTACAGAGATTTTACCAGATTATCGTTAAGGTCTGAGAGCAACCGAAGATCGGGATCGTCAGGAGCAACCATGATTCCTGCTAGCGATGGATGACAGATTCCGGCCTTAGATTCTACGCCGACTTCAAACAAAAAATTTGCCGCGCTCCGCCGTAGACGTTTCACTGAATTGAGTTTTGAAAAATTTCAAAATAATGGGAAGAGACGTTTGGAATGGGGATTAATCGATTTATTGGATCTCTACCGACAAGATTTATTGGATCGACTGTGTCAAAATATTTGGGTTTGGGCCAAAAAAATCGGCATATTTGTGGAAAAAGATATTTGCGAATGGGGTTTAACAAACATTTGGAGTTTTAGAAGAGCATGATTTTCGAAACAACGGACCTAAGTGCATATCACGATCCGGGGGTTACGTTGCCAATTTCCTATAGTTTTGGATTCATGTGTATGGGGCATTTATTGTAATTCTATAAAACTAGAGATTGGGCTACAAATGGCTTTCGCCTTGGGCTTCAAGAAAGTCCAATTGCAAATGAACTCCCTACAAGTACAAGCTGTTAATTCCATAAATGAGGAAAATTAGGAAACAATCAACAGCAGACTCTACGAAGAATCATGAAACTACTAAGACAATAATGGGAGGTTAATGTCAGTTCCATAAAACGCACGGCTAATGAATCAGCTGATTCTTTGGCCAAACTAGGACTATTTTGCAACACGGGGACATATATTTTGTCGAACCCCCAGGCATCAATTCTAAAAAAATTAGCTAGAGATTTTCCGGGCTCAACTCTATCTTGAAGAGTTGACTTTCGTTACAGAACTATGCTCCCTCAATATCCTATTATATTATAAACAAAAACTTCCCCTTCAAACACCTCATATGATTGCCACGTGACATATAGAAAGTACTAAATTGCCCTTTTGTCTAAACCATAATTAAATTACTAAATCTCTCTTTGCACTTGACGTGACACGTTTTTTTTTATAAAATTTTTTTCTTTATGTTTCATTCATTTAGAGTGGTTTTTTAAGTTAAATTAATCAATTAGGTTTTTGTTACAAAGTGTCAATTTTGTTTTAAGCGTATACCCTGCGGATGAAACTTATTACAAAGCTATTAAAAATATCTGAAACTAAGTATTGATTTGACACGACCGAACATCAATAAATCATCTTACTAATATTTAAATTTATTAGGATGCTTTTATATTTTATCTAACATTTACTTCAATACATATATTCGATTAAAGCTATTTATATTTAATAAGTAACACTTATAAAATATTTCTATAACTTACATGGCGAAATACAATTTCTTTTTTTTTTTTGTAAAATACAATTATTTCTATGATCACACTTATAAAACATTTCTAAATCCTTCAAACATTTCTAAAATATATCGCTCCAAATACAAAATTTTATTTTTTTCAAATATAAACATTTCTAAGATCTACAGATAGACTGGGCCAGGGTCGCGCATTATGCGACCAGACATCACTAGTGTATATATATATATATATATATATATATATATATAAAACACCTCATATGATTGCCACGTGGCATGGTTAGAAAAAGGGTAATTTATTGCTGATTCCGGATTCAGTTTCCTTTTTCAGCTCAATAATAATAACGGTAGTGTTATTGCCAAAATATAAATTAGCATCCAAAACAATTTAACAAAATTATCCTTATGTATGCAACTCAATAACCTTCTATCTACATGCCTTTTTTTGTTTTTGTTTTTTTTTTGCGAATTCCTATCACACGAAATTAAAATTTTGAGTACCAATTATTTTCTCCCCCTCCAGAATCTAATACGAAAAGCAAAAAGCTCAAGTAAATTTATATTTCGACTTAAAAAAAAGTTATTTTGTGTTGTCTTCACTCCCATAAGCAACATTATATTATTAGGATGATCATTTTAATTGTTACTTTATGCTTTAGTTTTCAAAGAAGGTTGTAGACATGTAATAAAAAAATATTTGGATTATTTTTTCCTAAATCAATGACATAATCGTGTGAAATTATACTTGGGAGTTTTGTTGAAGATAAAATCATCAATAAAAAAAAATCAGAAAAGTTGCAAAGTGCAAACATATTTAAATTGGCGCTTGCGACAATCTTTTATGCAATAAAATGGCTATTGGATAGTTTTTCTTGCCTTAAAATATGGTAGAAGCATATAAAAATTAAAAGTTATGAATTACGTAGTGTTATTATGAAAGCGTTCTTTTGTTATTTTTTATTGAGAGTTCATATACTGCAGTAAGAGTGTTTGAAATTTTATAATTTGCTAAAAAGGATATGAGAAAGTAGCTCGTCACTTTGTTGGAAGGGAGAAAGGGGTTGGAAAAAGAGCAAAGTGTGGAAATGTGGAGAAAGAGAGCAACCATTTGATTTGGAAGAGGGTTATTTTTGTCATAAAGATAATAATATGTTTTGGATGCTAATTTATGTTTTGGCAATATCAACACCCTAGTAATAATTAGTATTGTAATGATTGTACTAATCATTGTTGAATAATAATGGGAAAATTTGGTAAAAGGACAATGGAAATAATTAAATGAATAAAAAGGGTATGACTTCAAAATAATTTTAACTTAATTAAAGGTAGTAATTTATATGACAAAAATTATAAAATCAAATTAGTTTTGTATTGACATTGTTACCCTTAATATTTATGTTACTAACAAAAAAAAAATAAATCCTCTCCTCAGGGATAAGATTGTTTCAACATGCCGATGTTTGTTTTTGGTTGTTCCTCTTTGACAATCTTCAAGCCCAAAATTCAAAGACATTTTTTCCCCTGGAGATATACTTTTATTGTATCAATCTTTGAAAACCTTGAATCCGAAGGTAAATTTTTATCCTTTTTATATGATAAATACAATATTTATTCTTTGTGAGTTTTCTATTCATTCAAAAACAAAAAGAATAAAAATAAAGAGTTTTTGTTAAATTTTACAGTAGAATTTTGATTACACTTTGTCAAACTATTTCAAAATACTGATTAAAAAAGTCTAGAAGAATATATCGTAGAAACAAGATGAGTATGAGTTGGAAATATATATATATCTCTTACTATGTAAGAAACAAAAATCACACTTCAAAGAGCTCCCCTTCAATTGTCACGTGGCATTTCCACCTTATTAATTGTCATTAATTGGTATTAATAAATTAACAGATTTCCATAATGCCCTCCAGAATATACACCACGTGCTTTTTTGTTTTCTTCCCTCTTTCAAATTCTCACTTCTCCATTACAAGACAGAAGAGTAAATTATATTACTTCTTATTCCACAATTGATGAGATTGCTCTTCAACCCCTTTCATTTTCGATTCTTCTTCCAAAATCTTGGACATTCTCATAATCAAAATGCCGTCGTCCACCGCCGGTAAACCGCCGCTTCCACCACTACCCCGCCTTGCTCGGGCACCTCCGTCGCAAACTATTTTCTCCCGTGCTAGAGCCCAGATCGCCACTTTCCATCTATTCTAACATAGAATGGGAAACAAGCCTTCGATAGGCATCTGTTGTAACAGAATTAAATTGAATCCTACCTTAATTCATAAGCTTTCATTGATTTCTTTAATTGAATCTCATTTTCAACTCATTTCTTTCGGTTTGATTACTTTCCAAGTATGGGAATGGATTACTCAGTTCCGAAGTTTCAGAGGTCGTCGCAAACGAGCTCGGAGTTTCTGTACTTGGTCACTTTGGTGAATACTCGTGGAGCCATTGACAATAGTGTTATGCAGCAACAACACCCACGTGGCAGTAGCACCAGCGACGAAAGCAGTACTGCGAATTCGAGAAAATTTGACTCGCCGGAGCTCCGCCCTTTGCCGCCGCTTAACGGTCACAGCAATGTTAGGCAAAATTACGGTAATGGTGATGCGGGGTCCGCCACACAGCAATGTTAGGCAAAAAATTAAAAAAAAAACTCTTCCAGTACCGGAATAGTTTTGGTACTATTTTGGGCTTAGGGTCCAGTAAGTGAATACAGTCCAAATAGAAATGTTTTCATTGGCTGATGTTTGACCGAAAGGAAAACAATAGTATTTTGTATAGACCCCACTCTTTTTTTTTAGAGTAGAAGTAATAGTATTTTGTACTGAGGTCAAACTCTTCCGGCAATACATTCCTACTCATTTATCCCACTTTTTACAATAGGGCTACGCACCATGATCGCACTAATTTATATGGTGGTGAGTTCTTTTTTTATCCCACTTTTGTATAGTATTTTGTATGATTTTTATATGATTTTGTATTGGGTGGGAAGGAATGATGTTCCTTTCAAACACCCATATGATTGTTACGTGACATGAGTAAAGTACTAAATTGCCTTTTTGTCTAACCACAATTAAATTACTATAAAAACCCCCATTTCAAATACCTCCTATGATTGCCACGTGACATGAGGAAAGTATTAAATTGCCCTTTTGTCTAACCATAACTAAATTACTAAATCCCCCTTTGCACTTTACGTGACGCGTTTTTTTTTATAAATTTTTTCTTTATGTTTCATTCAATTAGAGTGATTTTCTTTTCTTAATTGTGGAGTCTAAATTGAATTGATCAATTAGGTTTTTGTTACAAAGTGTCAATTTTGTTTTAAGCGTATACCCTTCGGATGAAGCTTATTGCAAACCTATTAAAAATCTTCAAAACTAAGTATTGATTTCGTACGACCAATGGAGAACATCAATAAATCATCTTACTAATATTTAAACTTATTAGGATACTTTTATATTTTGTCTAACATTTACTTCAACACATATATTCGATTAAGTCTATTTATATTTAATAAGTAACACTTATAAAACATTTCTAAAACATACATGGCGAAATATAATTTCTTTTTTTTTTGTGAAATACAAATATTTCTATGATCACACTTATAAAATATTTCTAAATCCTTCAAACATTTTTAAAATCTATCGCTCCAAATACAAAATTTTATTTTTTTTCAAATATAAATATTTCTAAGATCTACAAATAGACTGGGCCAGGATCGCGCATTGCGCGATCAGACATCACTAGTATATATATATATATAAATATATATATATATATATATATATGGGAGCGGCTAGAGTCCCGTTACGGGACGGTTTCCGTTTTAAGATAATAACCGTAGGATTAATTAGGCTATTTAACAACCGTAGGATTATAATGAGGGTTCATTATAGGTAAATATACCTAAACACACCTGATTAAATTGAAAAAATTAAAGAAATTGGTTAATTTTACCCAAAAC